TAGTGTGAAAACGGAACTTGTCTATATGAGAATTTGCTGCACAAGAACATCAAATTGCAAATATCTCCACCAAAAGGCATTAAGCGAGGAACACTTTGAAAGAAACAGGGTGAAGCTGGGACTATTGAAGCTTAATTGAGAACCTGATACCTCATCATTTGGCTATGAAAATCTCCTTCAGGTAAAACTAGCTAAAGTGTTTTCTGGCCAAGCCTAACTCACATTGATACCATTGTAGGTAAACATGCATGACGATCATAGAAGCTAAAGGTACAATGGCGAACTACGAAAGAAGAGCTGTTAAAATCTTTTTTTAAAATCGTTTAAGAATCAGGTTCCTGTACCACAGGTTAGTAGTAATGTATTGTCTTTGCATGCTTTCTCAAAAGGTTAACAAAATTAATTCAATTGCCACATCATCCGACTTTTCAAAGTCTATATGTCACATCTTGTCTTTCAAATCCCTTCACCTCCTCTGCACGATAACGTTTTCCCATAAACCTACCGTCGTTTTCAAGACCCTTCAGAACCCGTTCATCTNCTCTCTCTCTCTCTCTCTCTCTCTCTCTCTCTCTCTCTCTCTCTCTCTCTCTCCTCATCATTAGCCCTTCTTCCCATAAAGCTCTCTTTTTCCCTCACAGCAAGTCATGAACCTTCATATCTTTTGTATCATGTGATCCTCTCTTAACTTCTCTCTCACTTAGCTTCCCTACCAAATCCTCCTACAATGGCAATCGAACAATCGCTTCATTCTCCCACCATTAACACCACTCCCACTTTCCTATCTTCTTTAAAGTCATCTCCAGAAATTCACTCTTCCACTTTTCCCAAAGTTGTTGCACCCACACCTGTTTCCTCCTCATTTCCTATTGTTTTTTCTTCCGTCAAACTTTGTCTCCCTTCCATGTATTGAAAACCCCGTGTCTCCTCTTTCTTCTAACCTTACCAAAGAACACTCGGGAAGTGTTACTTCTCAGGTGTCAGAGGTCTCTGAGGATGATCCTGATCAGTATCTGAACTCCTCCATTAGACTAAATGGCTCTCACAGAGTCACCAGAAAAGGAAGCAGCGCACAATATCATGGCTATCGCTGCTGAGAGTCTTTTGAATGAAGGAGCATATCTCTTGTCTGAGTATCAGGGGGAAGAAACTCCATTCCTAGGCGATGAAAGAACTATGATACTCTTCGAGTCTCCAGTCCATGAAACAGTCATAGAAAAACCTGTTGGAGGACCTGACTCTTTTCTAGTTATATTAACTCAGGAACCTCTTGTTTATCCTAAGCCCTTAGAATCCTCTTCCAAGTCACCCACTGCCAGGTTGCAGCAGAAAGAGGCTTTCGAGTCTACCTTGCATAAAGGTAAAAGGAGTGTCAAGACAAAGAAGAAGAGGTTGATGAAACAAGGGGAATTTGTGACTGACAAAAGCATTCCAATGGCTGAGGTTGACAAAGATGCTCTAGAGGAACCTAGTTCCTTAGTAAAATGATCTACAAAAGCCCTGAAGTCTGTGGATGGAGCTTCCGATAAAGCTATTGAAAAACAAAGTGGAACATCCGTGAAGAGGAGCAGTAAGTTTAAGAAGAGTGTAGGAGATACTGTAAGGTTTGTAAGTTGGAAAGGGAAGTCTGTTGAAGGTTCTACAAAACGAAAAGGGGAAACTGTAGGAGAACCTGGTTCTCAGAAGACCATACCTAGTGACAGTGGTCCTTGCCAGGAGAGATTGAGAACTCAAAAAGTCTTGTGGGGTCGTATGTTTGATCCGGTAATCTCAGAGATGACAGGTATGAGGCAAGTTCTAGAGATGGTGGAATTTCAGCAATGGGAGCATTTGTTTTAGGAGGATATGCCTAAGGTGTACGAAGATGCGGTACAAAATTTCTATGCATCTCTCTTCACTATTGAGGGGATCACATTTGTGTGCTAGTAAATGGAGTAGACATTGTGCTTGATGCTTCAGCATTGGGAAAGGTTCTCGAAATTCCATGTGAAAGGACGTCCTTAGTCAAAGGTGTCTGTGGTGCTAACTTTAGGAGAGCTATCATGACAGAGCAAGCAGTTCAGCAGGGGGAATAGGTGCATAAGAAGGTACTACTTCCTGAGTATCAGCTTCTATTTGAGCTGGTCAATAAGGTGCTTTTACATCTTGCTGAGAGGCGGTCTACCGCTACAAAGTCTGATTTGGTCTTAATGGAGGCTCTTGATGAGTTTGTCCCGATCAATATGCCATCAGCCATGATAGACCATATGCAAAAAGGTGGCAAAATTTAAAGGTGGCAATCATGGGCTTCTATATGGCTTTCTCCTTACTCGAGTGTTTGACTTCTACAAGGTTCTTTTGGCTAATCCTAAAGTGGGCACACGCAAGCAAACCTTCTCCAAAACCACTCTGGAAGAATGTGAGTGAGTAGAAAAGGTTGGTGGAATCATCTCGACCATTTCTCAGCTGATCAATGCTCAAAATACTACTTCAGAAGAGATCAGGAGATTGAGGGCTCTGAATGCCATACTAGAAACTCAGCTCAGTCAAGCTATTAGAGGACCTAGTTCCGTTAATTCCACAAATGAAGAAGTTGCCCGCTTGACAAAAGAAAATGATGAGCTTCGTGCAAAATTGCTTGAAGAGCAGCTGTCTGCAAATGCCCGTCTGGACCTGATCTCAAAACCCTTGCTTCTTCTCTCTCCAAGTCTCCCTTTTCTAGTGCCCCTTAGAAACCTCTCAATGACCAGTTGTCTTTTGTTATGATGTTTTGTGGCTGTTGTTTCTATTTTTGTTGGTCTTTTTTGCTAATGGCATGTTGGACTTCACCATTACTACTTCTGTTTTTGCTCAGTCCATTGTTTATATCAATGAAACTGCTCTTCTCTTTGCTTGTACAATGTTGTTTTCCTTTGGCTTCTCTTTTCTGTCATGTTGTGTGCACATATATGGCATGAGTTGGTTGTGTTAGACTTCTTTCTACTATTTGCATGCTTGTGTATTTTTAATGATGCCAAAAGGGGGAAGTATAGTAGTATAGTCTTAAATATGCCAATGGAAACTGATTGAAACATGGGGATCTGATTAAGGGGGAATCAAAAGCAAAAGATTAGGGGGAACTTGTGAAGTTCCTGTTACCTCATCTGGTCATTTTCGCTCTAAATAAGCATTATCAGTGTCTAAGTTTGTCATCATCAAAAAGGGGGAAATTGATGAGCTTTTAATGTCCTTGCCTTATATTTTGATGATCTAACAAACTTACTGTTAAGAACCAGATAGGGAACCTGACACACTTGGTACACATTTCAAATGAACGAAGTCTAGCCTTAACTCCAGCTAATGTGAACTGATGCAAACAAAGAGAAAAGAGGAACAAGACAGGAACCTGATCCCTTGGTGTCCTCTGACAGAAGTACAAGTCAACTATATAGCTGGAAAGCAACTACAGAAAGTGACTACCTGCTACTGTACACGCGACAGTGCAGCAGACAGTGCAGCAGTCACTTCCCATTGGAAGAGATTTGTACCAACCAAGAATTGACATCATCCTTGTGATGTCTTTGGTAATATAACAACATGGTGCAAGGCACCAGATATTCACTTGAGCATTTAGTGATATTCTCTCAAGCATTAAAGAGTTCATCTAGCGTTGAAGTCACTAGTGTATCAATAACAAGAAGACAACTCCACTAAAGGATCAGTTTCACGAGTTTATGTATATCTGTAGTTGAGTTGTAATCTTGTTATTTGTTCTTCATTGTAACTCCTATCTTACTTTCTTAGAAGCTATGTTTTAGGAAACCCAAAATCACAAACTTTCTGAGTTTGTGTTGTGACTAGACTTAGTCATAAGTTAAAGTCTTTGTAACTAGTGAGTGACAAAGTGGCTTGTGGTAAGTGTATCACAAGTTAGTTAAGTTGAAGTCTTTGTAATAGAGGCATTACAAAATGGCTTGTAATAGTATGATTACAAGTTAGTGAAGTTGAAAGCCTACAAGTGTAGGTCGTGATTTGTATCCCCTTGAGTGGGATTTTTCCACATAAAAATCTTGTGTCCCTCTTATTTACTGCTTCATTAGTACTCTCAGTGGAAATTCATATAGGACCAGGTACTCTATAGTTTGGTGGACTTATATAAACTAACAAAATCTATGCACATGTGAATCTAATATTTTCAAAACTCTATTTTCATGGCTAGAACTTATGAACTCTTGATCACACAACAACTTTTACTAAATGGCTATGGAACAAAATATTAGTACAACACAGAAGAACAAAACGTCAATAGTCCCCTATCTAATAAAGTGAAATGTTGTGGTTAGATTCTTCTCAAAAAGATTGACGAAGTAAATCAAGAACCAAAAACATGATGGCCTCAATAAATAATATATTAATACAGATGTGGAAATGGTCGTTATCTCTTAAAGATGACACCTTCCTCTCTGGAAAAAATAAATCTCTTTTACAACTTCAAATTCATGCGTGAAGGTTGACGAGACTCAACCAACAGAGACAGTTTTGAATCACAGATATCATTTTTATTTCCGAAACCAAACATATAATTGATGTCCAACATGTTAAAATAATAAGTCGCACATAAATTTATGTCCCCCATAAGTTATTTATTCTAATACGTTTAGAAAATTTATCTTTTGAATATAAAGTTTGTCTTAATATGAGATTGGTAGTATTTGAGGGAGGTCTTAAGTGGTCTCAAAGTTGACTTAAATTGTATCTGTGTTTCTCTCTGACTTTTTTTTTTTTTGCCTACCAAAAACGTCACCCTAAATGTCACAAAAAGCACATTTTCTTCCCTTAAAAAAAGTTCGTACACTAAGCTCCCGTTATACGCGGGATTCGGGTAAGGGCTGGATCACAAGAGTATATTGTACGCAGCCTTACCCTGCATTTCTTTAAGAGCCTGTTTCCACGGCTCGAACCCGTGACTTCCTGATCACATGACAACAACTTTACCAGTTATACCAAAGCTCCCCTTCTTTAAAAAGGGCAGCCAGGCTACGTTTCTTTATATATTCAAAATGTTGTTGAGCGTATGTTTATTTCCAAGACAAAAAGAAGAAAGAACAAATCTACAAATCAGAAATTAGAGCATAGTCCAGGATGATTGAAGGGACGACTAATATTCCATGTTTCCCTAATACTAATCCACAAAACTTACCATTATATGCACCTATTCATCATAATCTTGATCAAGATCAAGATCATATGATTTCTTCTTCAGTTCATGTTGCAACTACATCTTCTTTATACCATTCTCATCAACCAAATTCTTTCCTTTACAATTTATCCCTTTTGAAAGAAAAGGTTGATCAAGTTCAATCACTTGCCACCATGTTTATTTCTACTAATAATCAAACAATAGTCCAAACATCCGAGTCAACGTCTATGGCCATTGCAAATATGGGAAGCTTGATTCAAGAAATCATCACAACTGCTTCCTCTCTCATGTTCTCTTGCCAGAAGATTTCCCTCGGCTCGACTTCAACCACCAACAATATTAATTCAAGTAGATTTCTTGAACCATCTCAAATCAAGCTTCAAGATGATGGCCATGTTGATCCTTTGCCTCAAGGTTTCTACCCGAACGAAACGCTTGATCATTGGTATGAAGAGAATTATGCTTCTTGTAGTAATATTGAAGATAACAAAAGTCATAGTACTATTATAGCTATTAGTGATCATAGTAATGTTCAATTGGGAAAAAGGAAATTCAAGAATGAAGGAATGCAAAATATTTCATCACAAGAAAATTGTGATATTATTGAGTTGGATGCAGCTGATTTATTGGCTAAGTACACACATTATTGTCAAGTTTGTGGTAAAGGGTTTAAAAGGGATGCTAATTTGAGAATGCATATGAGAGCTCATGGAGATGAATACAAGTCTAATGCAGCCTTAAGTAATCCATTGAAAAACAATGGAAATGATGGAATAAATGATAGATTATCAAAATTGAGTAAGAAATATTCTTGCCCACAAGAAGGTTGCAGGTGGAATAAAAAACATGCCAAATTTCAGCCACTGAAATCAATGATATGTGTCAAGAATCACTACAAGAGAAGCCATTGTCCCAAAATGTATGTGTGCAATAGATGCAATAAGAAGCAATTTTCTGTGTTGTCTGATCTTAGAACTCATGAGAAACATTGTGGTGACCTGAAATGGCAGTGTTCATGTGGTACTACTTTTTCAAGGAAAGATAAGCTTATGGGGCATGCTACTTTATTTGTTGGACACACTCCAGTTATAAATTCCTTGGCCAAGATGGGAAAATATGAGCAGAATAATGTTCAGTTAAGTTCAATTACAGGATAGGTAAAAGAGGAAGTTTGGCGGTGGAATCGCTCGTGGCAGCTAATTATGGCTTTGGCAACGGAACAATGGTGCGTCGTGCAAGTGGTGCCGCAAGGTACCATGTGCACAGGGCTAAGCTCAGTACATGTCGAATGCCGTGTGATTGTTGTGGGGGTAGATTTTATTACTTGGTTGTTTTGTTCATCTTTTTCTTGTAAAATGTTGATGATGTGCTTTAATCATGAGTATGAAAATTATAAGTATATCCTAGCTCGAAAGAGAGAAAAAAATACTTGCCATGCAATCTGATAAACAGTAGCTTTATAACATTACATTGATACTCTACGTAGTTATATTTTCGATCTGAAGGATGGCAATGAGACTTGAATCCAGAAAATCTACTTGTCTTGATACCTTATGTTAAATAATTATGCGACCGCTTAATCCAAACATTTAACATCTCAAAAATAGAACATTCTTTTATTCTTAATTATATCTTCACAAGCATATATACATATCTGGTGTATGAGTGTTTTCTAAAATGAGACGACCAATATTATATAGACGAGCCAAAAAATTTGTTTCTATGTGAAAAATGTCTTGCCCAAATAAACTCATACTCCCTCTGTTCAGGGGCGGATTTAAAGGCGGAAAGGAGTTCACCCGAACCCCCTTTGCCGTAAAATTACACTGTATATATAAAGCAAAATCTGTTTTGTACCTCAATATATTATATTTTGAATCTCCTTAACATAATTGAAAAGCATAGCTTAGTGGTTTAGGGGCTTCAAAAGCATAGCTTAAGGTTACAAGTTTAATTCCCTCTAGCCATAATCTCTTTTAATCTTTTAACTTTTTTTTGAACCCCCTTGTCGAAAATCCTGCCTCCGCCACTGTCTCCGTTTCGTAAAAAGAATGAAAATATTTNGATTAGGGGAAGGGGTAGGGGATTTGGTTGAGGGGAATGGGGACTGGAAGGGTACCGAAAAAAGTACCGGTAGAATCAATCCAGTTGGTACCCTTAAAGGTACCAAAACGGTATAGTTCAAAAAATGTAACCGTTTTTGTACCGTTAGCTAACGGTTATTTTTAAAAAAATTGTCGTTAGCAACGGCCAAAAATAGCTATCATTGCCTCCTAGCCCCATAACACCCCCTACCCCCTAATTTATATTTTTAACCCTTAAGTTTGTTCAAATACACTTTGGCCCTATTTTAAAACTATAAATACCTTATTCCATTCTTTTAATTTTCACACAAAACGCTCATATTTCTCTAATTCTCTATCTTTCTCTATCTCTAAAATGCAATTAACGTTCTATCACTCAATTATTTTGGTATAATTTTTCAAGCACCAATATCAAATATTCGGTGGCGTATTTTTTCACTACTAGTTGGAGCAATTTTCTTCCATTAACATCATTTATACGTTAATATTTGATACATTCGTTCCAACTCTTATTAATTTTTGCATTTATTTTTGTTATAGTTGTGTTGCTGTTATTTTTATTTTAATTATTTGTTATTAAAAATGGCTCTTAAATTAGTAAAAGACGTTTAAAAAATTGACTAAGGGTAATGCTAGTTCAGTATTGTAATACCTTATATTTAAATAAGGTTATATAAGTTTTTAGCAAAAAAAAAAAAATAAAATAAAACAAAAAAAAGGTTTTTGGGCTAAAGCCCGTTAGAATGAGAATTACGTGAAGGATTTAGGGGAAAGGCATGAAGGATTTAGTTTCGGCAGAATAGAAACTAAAGGATTTTCAAAGACTTGATAAAGTCAAAAGCAAAATAGAGAAGGAAGTGTTAGGCAGAAGTTTTGATGCCGCAAAAAAAGTCATTCCCAGCCACAAATTGTCTAGATTTTAAGGTAATTTATTCAATTGACATGAGTAGATATTTGCACCAAAAAAAAAAGAACTTTTACATTTCTATGTCATATAGAAAATTATATTACCCTTAATGTTTAAGGTTTGATATAATTACATTTAATATACCTAATTACTAATTCTATACCATAAGATTTTTTAATTGTACATTAATTGTACCTTATATCACTCCGACATTTATGGTACCAAATATTCTTCCAAATCCCCCCCCCCCC